CCATAACTCGCTACAAGAAATTCGTGGGGATATAGAACGAATTAAGACAAACATATAGCTTCATACCGGTTTGCGATATTCGCAATAAGTGTTGAATTAATAATTATAGAAATGTGACGAGTGAACGCACACAGATATGCATACCCGTATTATTGCGCGTCCAATCGATTCAGCAACTGTTGTCGGTATGTGATGAAGAGAAGGACAATGCTCCGCGCTGTTTGTCTTATCTTAACGGCGAGATGCCATTCCTAGATCTCGCCGCACGCCAGCTGAATCGATTAGATCGCGTTAAGCCCGAACGACTCTTCCAATATTATCTCGGCGCACGATCACTTATTAGACTTTTATGATTCATAACTCGATAATTATCGCGAATATTGCAAAACAGTATGGGAATTTTATATTTGTCTTAATCTGCCATATGTTCCCATGTTACGAATTCATTGTATCGACTTATGAGATATTCTCTACATAACTCATTATATTAATATTGTCTGCATATGATCTCACAAAATTGTACGAAATTTAATTTATATATATGTCAATATTGAAAAAAGGCTGGTATACAAATGTAAATTATGTAAATGCCTGTTTTCGCAGTTATGATCATTTTTAATTGATTTATATACCGACATAGGGATTATGAACAAATACTTTGTCGATAAATATTTTACAAGAAAACGTTGAATTAATCGGTTTTACTTTTGATTTTTACGAATGATAACTATATAAACCAATATAACCAGCATAACATTTGTACCAGCAGAAAAGAATGTTTACATACAATGGTTAGCAGTATGATTCTCGTAAATTCTTACCTTGTTTTCTCAAGATTTGTTCCACTTTTCTTGTATTCGTATTTAACTACACCGTTCCAAGAACGGTTCCAAGAACGACGAATAATAGAGGTAATTGTCAAGTTATAAGTCCCAGGAACTATTACTTTATCAAACTGCAAATCCAAAATCTGCGAGTGTTTGCAATAACGGTAGCCAGTTAATCTGTAGCTTTCAAGTGAGTTGGTATTTACAACCTTTATCCGACTGTTGATATCCATTTCATAGGCGTGCAAACTTATGACTCTTATAGAATTTTCAATAATGATCGTAATATCACTTAAACAAACAACTACGTTCCAAGACGGATTTATTAACGCATATATTAGGATATTTATGTTATATCGAATTGGCCGGGAGTTAGAAACCAGTAAATCATTATAAGAGGAAACATCCGAGCAATGTTGCAGGTCCATGTCTAAAGATTGATCATGATCGGTAGCAATGTAGTGTGGCAGAACAGCGGCGCACATCGAAATGTAACTTAATAATAATATTAGGAATTCCATGTAAATATTTCTCAAAGCCATATATGTACCTAAATGGGGAATTTATTTTTTTGCAGAATATTAGTTAATGATACGTTTTTATGAGGTCATTTATGAGGTCATTGTTCCATAATATTGTTACTTAATGTTGATATTAATGTAAGAAGACTAATACAACGGATATAAGGAATTTAATATCTCTTACCTATGTGGATATATGTTCTATATTTGATATTTCTACTTCTGGTGCTCGTTGCTTACTACCGTACGTAGCATAAATACAGCTTCTGATATAGAGGTCCGTTTACTAATCGCAAAAAATATAAACAAAATCACGCAACAATAAGTTACGTTTTGAAAAACACCTTGATGCTAGATTGATTACATACAAAGAATTTTGCCAGATAATAGCATATTTAGTTATTATTGATAACCTGAACTGATATGAAACAATATGGAAAATATCACATTTCATATATTATTACTTCGGAAATTTTACTGAATTTAACAAATTTGTAAATTTTGACAAAACATCGCAAAGATTGACGAGAAATATTGTTTTAAAAACTTTAAAGAGAATAAACTTTTTATGATATTTGTTCAGCATGATTTTAATGTCTATTTACAAGACAAAAACGACAAACATAGTTTATTTTTGAAATAATCTATATTATTTTCAACAAACTTCTCTCATCTTTCAGGCAGCTGCCGAATTCTATTTCGGTAAAAAGATTGTGATTTCACTCAATAATATCAAAATGCTTTTTCATCCCTGATTACGATTTTGTGAAGAAAGTCGTTTTGTTTGAATTGTAACAACTAGGACATTATCGTATCAGAGCGTCTCACAGTTTTCGGCATTCCACTACGTTCTGCATCAATAACATCAAAATGGCCAGTTCGAAACCCACTTTGAAACCATTTTATAAATTTTTTGGATCACAGCAAATTCACCTAAATCGAAATAAATCATTTCGGCGGTTTCAGTAGCAATTTTCTTTAACCAGAGCACAAAAAATACAGTGCTTAATATACTTCTTCTGAGAAGACTTGGTGCAAATTACTGTTTTTTGAGTTTATTTCGCAAGTAGAGGAAAATTATGGGACCTCTGAAAGGGTAAAACTGATACTTTAAAATCTTAAAACTGAAACTTCAAAATCCCAAAATAGTAGGAAAAAATTTTAATTTATAACAGAATTATAACTGATTGAATATAGAGATCGATCTCTTTTGTATGTCTAATGCACTCATCGTACTCATTTGTATATCTAATATAAACTAGGTATGTAAAATAAATCAGTGCTTTTACATTTACTTGGTCTTAAATAATATTTTGAGTTTAAAGATTTTTTACCGCCATAATATAGTTTTGGAAGGACGTTATTTATATTTATAAAATGCTATGTCACTTATCTGCATTTTTGAGATCAATATGATGTAAAAAATCAATTGTGTTCAAGATGGCAGCTGACAAGATGCCCGCTAACAATAAAATAATTAGGTGCTTTGCGGTCGACCTACCATAATATTTTGTATTTATATCACGGAAAGAACTGTCCTCATGGCAAATTAACTGAAAAATAAAACTACAGTTAATTTGACAGTTATATCCGAAATGACAAGCTGAATTAAACCTAAACAAATTATTATTATATTTAAATCACAAAGAGAGATTTTTGAAAAGAAAAATAATATCATATTTATAGCCGATATTAGTAATTAACTATATAATATACATATAGAAACGGTACGGATTGCAGTATAATATATAAATACGTTTTACAACCGTGTACTACGTACATAATATTATATAGTATAATAATTGTTATAAACGTTTGTAATGTAATAAAATTTTTCTGATATAAGTTCTTGTTGGTATCGAAGAATTTATATTTGGAAAATATCATGTTTTATATACCACTTCGCAAATTTCATGGAATGTAACAAATTTATAAATTATCATGAAACATAATTCATTGCGAAAATTAACAAGATGAATTACTTTGAAAACTTACAAAATAGAATAAACTTATTACTTATTTACTATAAATATGTTACTTATTAAATTGAAAAATAAAAAGAACTTGATATGATAAAATTTGATATATTAATATTAAAATTAGTATTTTATAGGAAAATGAATAGAATTTATCGAGATCAGCAAATTCAGTAACGTATACTTTTATTGGCTAACTCAGGCTATGTTTTATTTATTTATCCTTGGGACATCTTACAGAAGATTGTGCTGCCTGGATTCTTAAGCTATTTGAGATTAACGGATATATGTAGTGGACATTTATGAAAGATTTATACTGTATTACAATATTTAGCATTCTGAAATTACTTCTAATGTTGCATTACAATTAATGAGGTCAAATATATACATAAAGTTTTCACTTAAAATATTTACAATAACTAATATCCAGGAAACTCCAGGAATTAAATATCACAGTATTATTTTGGATACTTTCAAGTTATCCCAAGATATTTTCAGAATATTTTTTTATCTTGAAAATATCTCATGATGTCCTGGACATATTCAGGATCATCTTGAGGTCATCTTGTACTGTCTGAGTTTGGAAAAAGTTTGAAAAAGAGACAAGTAGCTTCTCCACCTTCTCAGTATTAATAACAAAAATGGGCGTTACGCACCTCATACAACCTCATACAACCTCATCTTTAATGTCAAGGTTTAAGAAAGTGATTTCTTATATCAAATATGGATAATTATATAGTAATATATATTATTATCATATAATACAATGTGTGTATAGAAATATGCAATGTGTAAAAATAATATGAAAATGTAATAATAAAAAACATAAAATGGACATAAAATTAAAAAAACGATATAAAAAAAACAATAAAAACATGAATATGTGAGAATAACGTGATAATAGAATACAATAAAAATGCAATTACAAAAAACAAACATCACAGTTTTAAACACAGACATCTCAATTCATTGCCCAATTTGCAACAGCCTTCAGTTTGGCCGCTTTGTTTATTTGATATCTATCACATTTCGTAAACTCGCTCGTCCAGAAATTATATGTCTCCCTCTTTCTCATTCAAACTATAAATTATTTTTCGTATTTAAAAAATTTTTTGCCTTTGAGCTGATTTTATTACATACATATCATTCATGTTTATTTTCAATAAGTGAGCATTAACTTCTGCAAATTTTGTAATCTGAAATAGATCATTTTGATGAGTTCATAACAGAGTTTAAATATTCATTTTCATCTATTTTCAACTTTAGCAAAAATTTTAACTTTAGCAAAAATAAATTATTATATGTATTGCGTTTGAAAATGAAATTAATTAAAAATGAATCAATTAAAAATGTTAAACGCAAATCAAATAGAAGATACATACTATATTGAAATGTTCATCTAAATATAAATTCCATTATCATATCACTCAACAATTTTGTGTTTAAAGATGGGTCTAGCCACCTTAAAAGTAAAAATAATTAAATCAATCATCAATAGAAGTGTTATCGCGCTCTCTCGCGATTACGCGCTGCAAGTTTTTATAAGAGAGACAATCACCAGTCATTAAATTCAAATAATTTTTTATATAAATTCCAGAACATCATTCTTCNAACAGAAGCGTTATACTTTTTCGCGATCAGTCATTGCAAGTACTTATAAGAGAAACAATCACCAGATTATTCTCGAATAATGCTGTATGAAGTATTTCAGCACGTCATTTTTCCTTATGTGTTTCTTTATAACAATTCGATAAAGTTCATTTAAATTGTTATGCGATAGTACATTTCCAAGTTCGAGAAACACTTCCTCCATATACTTTATAATAATTTGTGCATTATCCGAGCAAAACAAGTATTTCAAAATATCTATATCCGTGGTATTTTTGTATTTTTCAAACAACATCTGCGATATAGCTTCGTTGGCCAAACTCATACCGGCACAATATACCCAATCCTTCCACCATGGTGAAAATCTATGTTTGCGAAAAATATCAACCATTAGCGAAGTTTAAGTTTGTATCATGTGACCGATCAAACATATGGCGGAACAAGTAATAAACAGATATGTTTAAAAAGAGATATGTTTAAAATTTGTATAGAATATAAAGATTTACTTGTTTTTATCAGGATCGAGTAAATAGCCAGACAATTTTGTCGTAGCAGTCATTTGACACTTTCTATGCCCTAATTTGCAAGCCCATCTTGTTCCTAATAATCTCAGTGTTTTATACATATTGTTCTCATAATTTTTTTCTTCGTATTCCAAATTTTGAAGTAAGCCATCCAGTATTTGACGCACTTCTTCCTAGGTTAAAGAATATTGATATCACATGAATATCGAAATGGCAACAGTTTGAAATAAGAGCATTATAATTTAATTTTAGTACTTCGCGTTGTTTATCGGGAACAGATATTTATATACATATATAACTACGTGATACATGCGTGACATATATCTCAACTTATATGTACATTTTTATAATCAGGAACAGAGTATTTTCTATATATTGGTCTGAATAATTCATTTTTAATATTATGAAACTTTTTTATGACATTTGCAGACTACGTGTCCCATAATTAACTAATGAACTGATGAAATTCGGTTTACCGTGCCTACCTTGATATGTTTCATTCCCGTAGCCGGATTATTCCAAATAGGCCACATAAACGATAGAATATTAAACAGGGGATACCAGGCTATGTAACTTACATCGTGCTCTGACTTAACCACGTATCCATAATTTCATTAATTCCAACCATTTGATTCGTACTGTCAAGTCTACGTTGTAAGGTGATCCAAAGATTAGAAGGAGTGGCAGAACGAAACTTACTATAAAGAGAAAAGTTCAACGTTACGTATATGTGTGCGCGCACGTGTGTATGTTTTATGTCATTAATAATTTATAAATCTTACAATACAAAACACATTTTTACTTAATCACGTGTTCAGTTGAACCATTTAACGTAAGTGCATAAATATACCGAAATTCTACGTAATAAATAATATGCCCCTCTTAAGCCCGATTAATTAATTAACACAAACCATATAGATTTGAAATAGTATAAATTCTGTCGTACATATAGTTATTTTTAGAAGCAATTATAGTGAAATGTTATATATAATGATGCTACAATGTGTTACTTACAATTTGTCAAAATATTCTGTGACAGCTAATTGAAATTTATTCCATGTGGTCATACGCTCTATCATGCGTAAAAGAGCAAAACCTAAAACAGTACATTAAAACGAAACAATTTTATTAATTTACATAGAGTAAGGACTAAGTTTCATAATTTGTATGGCATTTTCTTCCAAAGATAAATGAATATTTTTTTAAAATCTCCAGTTAAACACTAACCTTTATTATAATACCAACGAGAACAGAGGGAGACATCGATCTCATCCGCAATTCGTGCATTATATTCGGAAAGAGCTATCATCTGACAGTTAGTTTCATACTGAAATGTTGACTGAAGAATTTGGATTGCATAGAGATCTGTTAATTGTGAACCGATGAAAATCTAAAATAAATCATTCTGATATAAAATATACTAAACTTCTGATACTAAAATATACGCTGGTGTACAAATTAACATAACGCAAATGTACTCCATATTCCAGCAAACATAACGGTAGTATCAGGTGTAGTAAAAAGAAATCCATTATTTTTCCAATAGATAGCTTTAGTTATCTGTATCTCGCGTTGTATAAGTCCGATCGGGTTCCACTAGATGGCGTTAGAAAGATGAGATTTCGTACTAAAAAAACTTTTCTGACAGTTTTGTGATTAGTTGACTCAGATTTGTTTGAGCGCGCGTCAAAGATGCGCAAAACTAAGTACACTAGCAAAGAGAAAATACGCTATATTTTACAGTTTTTCTTCGATAAAGGCGGAAACGCAAGCCAGGCGGTTGAAAATGTGAATAGTGTTTATGGTCCTGATACTGTAACAGCCAATTACACGCAATTTTGGTTTCGTCGATTCCGTTCCGGTAATTTCGATGTCAAAGATGCACCACGCACTGGAAAGCCAATTGTCGAAAATATCGATAAAATCATGGACATTGTCGAGTCCGACCGTCATGTAAGCACTGTTTCGATTGCCCAAGAGCTAAAGATTGCACAAAAAACCGTTTGGAACCATTTGAATAAGGCTGGATACAAAAAGAAGCTCGATGTATGGGTGCCACACGAGTTAACGAAAAAAAACCTCATGGACCGAATTTCCATCTGCGAATCGCTGTTGAATCGCAACAAAATCGACCCATTTCTGAAGCGGTTGATCACTGGTGATGAAAAGTGGATCACTTACGACAACGTCAAGCGAAAACGGTCGTGGTCGAATCGCGGTGAGCCGGCGGAAACGGTGGCCAAGCCAGGATTGACGGCCAGGAAGGTTTTGCTGTGTGTTTGGTGGGATTGGCAGGGAATTATCTATATCTATGGAGGCAACAGTAAGCGACAAGAGGCGTGCGCGCGCGACGAGAAGCGAGCGAACGCGAACGACGAGCGAGCGAGCGCAAGCGACAAGAGGCGGCAGCCCAGCGCTCTCTACGCGCTCATTGGCTCACATGTTTCAATTAATAACTCGATAATTATTGCCAATTTGACATTATGGCACATGACTTTTCTTCTCGGCTACACCCAATCTACCAGTACACAAAATATTAATGATCACATTCCGGACACCCTGTATACACATGTATGCCTAAAATAAATATAACATGTTACTAAAATACTACAGGACAGTTACTGTATATAACGAGACCGTAACTTATGTATAACAGTTATGTATAACAGTTATGTTATGAGGTTTCAGGCAAATGTTATATGGCTGAAATATAAAAATTACATAAAATGTGTGACGATAACCCTTATAACTGTCATGCTTACAAAATTAAATATTTGTCATTCTATTAATTCTTTCCACATTAGCAGTAGCGGTATTCCATATTCAATGAGGTTTGCATATGATTGTAAAACGATTAGAAAAATTAAAAAATATCTTCCACACCGATCATTTGCCTTTAAATCCAAAAATTTCTCGCCTTCTAGTAATGTTGATAGTTATATATATTAACCTGGTTCATGATATAATGACTGTAAAGCTTCGATAGTGATTCGCCTATCCACAGGTCGGCCCATCGAGACTGAGTAACCACTGCTGTAAACAGCTGACGTGCCATTTGGTGTGAAATGACCTCACCGATATGAGCCTTGCGGCCAGGGAAATCGATATCTTTATCATATAGAACATCTTTTTCGCTGTAAATTGTGAATTAACATAATCAGGTGATGACATGTAGAAATGGCAGTATGCTTTTCTACAATTTAGCTCCTTCATAAATTACATAAACGTATGAAGTTAATTTAAAAGTTCTAATAACGAAACCCATTAAACACTGCATGATAATAATGTGACATATATTTTATTGTTAGATATGTGAATTAGTTCGGTCCATCTGGCGGTCAATTGCTGTACTATGTAATTTTCTAATCTCTGTCTATTAAAGGCTTTATTTTTTAGTTTTGATATCTGACAATAATATTCAGTTGATAAACGTTTGGGTTTGTAACAACAACATCGTGTTTATCTGATTTGAAAATGTCGAAATTCGAGCCAAAAAAAGCATCATCTCCGAGAAGTTCTTATTTTCATTTGAAGAAAACAGTCGCTGAAGCTCATCGAATGCTCGTAGAAGCTTATGGTGAAAGTGTTCCCACCATGCAGAGAATCATGCAGAGAATGGTTTCGACGTTTCAAAAGTGATGATTTCAGTGTCGATGACAAACCTCGTTCAGGTCAGCCGAAGAAGTTCGAGAACGAGGAATTGCAGGCGCTAATCGATGAAGATCAGTGTCAATCGCAATATGAGCTCGCGCAATTATTGAATATTGATCGATCAACAATTTCTGTGCGTTTGGCAGCCACGAAAAAAATTAACAAAGAAGGAAGATGGGTGCCGTACGAACTGAAAGAAAGAGTCATCGAGAGGCGAAAAGCCATGTCTGAAATCTTGCCTGCCAGGCAAAAAAGAAAAGGTTTCTTGCATCGTATTGTGACTGGAGACGAGAAGTGGATATATTTCGATAATCTCAAACGAAGGAAATCCATTAGCGACCCAGGAAAACCATCCACATCGATACCAAAGCGGAATATTCACGGCAAGAAAGTAGTGCTCTGTATATGGTGGGACCAGAAAGGTGTAGTGTATCATGAACTATTAAAACAGAGCCAAACCATTACTGCCGAACTTTACCAACAACAACTGATCCATTTAAACAACGCATTGAAGAATAAAGTCTTTTTTGGAAGAAAAAACAGACCGAATTAATTCACACACGTAATATATACCTATATATTATAAGACCAAAACATCCCATTGAATTTATTGTATTATTGGGGAACACTATGTGATTCCTCCTAGGCAATACACCGATTAATCCCATAAAGAATGTCAAGTAATAATCGGCAGCTGCAATTATATTCGTTGCATATTGTAGCATCTTCTTTTGCGACATGTGCCAAATGGTGTCTCTCTTAGATATTTCACTCTTTGTACGATTATCATTGTCTTCAAGCAGAGCAATGAACACGTTGGAAGGAAATATCGGAGGCGTATCACCAAAATACGTCTTGTTTAAATGTAAGTCATAGTTTTCTGTAAATATTTCGGGTACATTCGAGAAAACTTTAAAATTCTTAGGATATAGTGTAGATATGTTGAAAATTGCCTTTAATCCGGGCTTATCCCAACATGGAAACACTCTCCGAGCCATATTAGGTTGTGTGATGATTAACCTATCGTTAGAACATATTGTAAATATAAAATATTTAACCATTCTATAACGTAAACGATGTGGAAAAAAGTTTTCTACATATATGGATAAATTATACATAGAAAAAATCGGATAAATTAGCATGTGTCGCGATGGTAGAGAGTAGCGCGCTCGAATGCTAGAGCTTGTAGTGCAGCCCATTTAGTCTAACAATAGCTGTCGACGTACTTTTTTCCCTTAGTTACGCGACGGCAACTATTGCTAAGCAAAGTGGTTCGCTAAAAATTCGAACGTCCGAGCGCGCCATCCAGTACCGCCGCGACACACGCTAATTCATCCCATTTATTCCATGCATAACTCCGTCCATTTTAAAGATTTTTGCAAAATGCTATTTGATCCTTTTCTTTGTTTCAATCAGCTGTATGTCTCTATTGGCTATTTGAGTTATCAAACATAATGCACATATATGAATTATACAAGATGTTCCATAACTCGCTACAAGAAATTCGTGGGGATATAGAACGAATTAAGACAAACATATAGCCTCATACCGTTTTGCGATATTCGCAATAAGTGTTGAATTAATAATTAAAGAAATGTGACGAGTGAACGCACACAGATATGCATACCCGTATTATTGCGCGTCCAATCGATTCAGCAACTGTTGTCGGTATGTGATGAAGAGAAGGACAATGTTCCGCGCTGTTTGTCTTATCTTAACGGCGAGATGCCATTCCTAGATCTCGCCGCACGCCAGCTGAATCGATTAGATCGCGTTAAGTCCGAACGACTCTTCCAATATTATCTCGGCGCACGATCACTTATTAGACTTTTATGATTCATAACTCGATAATTATCACGAAAATTGCAAAACAGTATGGGAATTTTATATTTGTCTTAATCTGCCATATGTTCCCATGTTACGAATTCGTTGTATCGACTTATGAGATATTCTCTACATAACTCATTATATTAATATTGTCTGCATATGATCTCACAAAATTGTACGAAATTTAATTTATATATATGTCAATATTGAAAAAAGGCTGGTATACAAATGTAAATTATGTAAATGCTTGTTTTCGCAGTTATGATCATTTTTAATTGATTTATATACCGACATAGGGATTATGAATAAATACTTTGTCGATAAATATTTTACAAGAAAACGTTGAATTAATCGGTTTTACTTTTGATTTTTACGAATGATATAAACCAGTGAACTATATAAACCAGTATAACCAGCATAACAGTTGTACCAGCAGAAAAGAATGTTTACATACAATGGTTAGCAGTATGATTCTCGTAAATTCTTACCTTGTTTTCTCAAGATTTGTTCCACTTTTCTTGTATTCGTATTTAACTACACCGTTCCAAGAACGGTTCCAAGGACGACGAATAGTAGAGCCAATTGTCAAGTTATAAGTCCCAGGAACTATTACTTTATCAAACAGCAAATCCAAAATCTGCGAGTGTTTGCAATAACGGTAGCCAGTTAATCTGTAGCTTTCAAGTGAGTTGGTATTTACAACCTTTATCCGACTGTTGATATCCATTTCATAGGCGTGCAAACTTATGATTCTTATAGAATTTTCAATAATGATAGTAATATCACTTAAACAAACAACTACGTTCCAAATCGGATTTATTAGCGCATATATTAGGATATTTATGTTATATCGAATTGGCCGAGAGTTAGAAACCAGTAAATCATTATAAGAGGAAACATCCGAGCAATGTTGCAGGTCCATATCTAAAGATTGATCATGATCGGTAGCAATGTAGTCTGGCAGAACAGCGGCGCACATCGAAATGTAACTTAACAATAATATTAGGAATTCCATGTAAATATATCTCAAAGACATATATGTACCTATATGAGGAACTATTTGTTAGCAGAACGAAATATTAATTAATGATATGTTTTAATAAAATTATTGTTCCATAATATTGTTACATAATGATATCAATGTAAAAAAATTAATACAACGGATATAAGGAATTCAATATCTCTTACCTAAGTAGATATATGTTCTGTATTTGATATTTCCACTTCTAGTGTTCGTTGCCTACTACCGTATGTAGCATAAATACAGCTTCTGATATAGAGGTCCGTTTATTAAAATATAAACACAAATCACGCAACAATAAGTTACGTTTTGAAAAACACCTTGACGCTAGATTGATTACATACAAAGAATTTTGCCAGGTAATAGCATATTTAGTTATTAATGATAACCTGAACTGATACTAAACAATATGGAAAATATCATATTTCATATATTACTTCGGAAATTTTACTGAATTTAACAATTTTATAAACTTTGACAAAACATCGCAAAGATTGACAAGAAAAATTGTTTTAAAAACTTTAAAAAGAATAAACTTTTTACGATATTTGTTCAGCATAATTTTAATGTCTATTTATAAGAAAAAAGCGACAAACATGTTAACTTTTGAAATAATCCATATTATTTTCAACAAACTTCTTTCATCTTTCGGGCAGCTGGCAAATTCTATTTCGATAAAAAGATTGTGATTTCACTTAATAATATCAATAAAAGGTTTTTTCATCCCTAATTATAATTTTGTGGAGAAAGTCATTTTGTTTGAATTGTAACAACTAGGACATTATCGTATCAGAATGTCTCACAGTTTTCGGCATTCCACTACGTTCTGCATCAATAACATCAAAATGGTCACTTCGAAACCCACTTTGAAACCATTTTATAAATTGTATGGATCACAGCATCTTCACCTAAATCGAAACAAATCATTTTGGTGGCTTCAATAGCAATTTTCTTTAACCAGAGCACAAAAATACAGTGCTTAATATACTTCTTCTGAGAAGACTTGGTGCAAATTACTGTTCTTTGAGTTTATTTCGCAAGTAGAGAAAAGTTATGGGACGTTTGAAAGGGTAAAACTGATACTTCAAAATCCCAAAATAGTAGGAAAAAATTTTAATTTATAACAGAATTATAACTGATTGAATGTAAAGATCGATCTCTTTTGTATATCTAATACACTCATCGATCTCATTTGCATATCTAATATGTACTTAATTAAATCAGTGCTTTTACATTTACTTGTTCTTAAATAATATTTTGAATTTAAAGACTTTTTACCGCCATAATATAGTTTTGAAAGGACGTTATTTATATTTAAAATGCTATGTGACTCATTTACATTTTTGAGATCAATATGATCTCAAAAATCGATTGTGTTCCTGACGGCTGCTGACAAGACGCATGCCCCCTAACAATAAAGCAATTAATTGCTTTGCGCTCGACTTACGCCATAATATTTTGTATTTCTACCACGGAAAGAACTGTCCTCCAAAGCAAATTAACTGAAAAATAAAACCAGAGTTAATTTGAGTATTATATCCGAAATGACAAGCTGAATTAGACTTAAAGAAATTATTATTATATTTAAATCACAATGAGGTTTTGAAAAAAAAGATAATATCATATTTATAGCCGATATTAGTAATTAACTATAATAGTATAATAATTGTTATAAACGTTTGTAATGTAATAAACTTTTTCTGATATAAGTTCTGTTGGTATCGAACAATTTATATATGGAAAATATCATGTTTCATATACCACTTCGCAAATTTTATGGAATGTAACAAATTTATAAATTATAATGAAACATATCGCGGAGATTAACAAGAAGAATTGCTTTGGAAACTTACAAAATAGAATAAACTTATTACTTATTTACTATAAATATGTTACTTATTATATTGAGAAATAAAAAAAACTTGATACGATAAAATTTGATATATTAATATTAAAATTAGTATTTTATAGGAAAATGAATAGAATTTATCGAGATAAGCAAATTCAATAAAGTATACTTTTATTGTCTAATTCAGTAGGCTATACTTTATTTATTTATCTTTGAGACAACTTAAAAAAGATTGCGCTGCCTAGATTCTTAAGCTATTTGAGATTAACGGATATATATAGTGGACACTTATGAAAGATTTATTATATATTGTATTACAATATTTAGCATTTGGAATTACTTCTAATGTTGCATTAAAATTAATGAAGTCAAATATATACATAAAGTTTTCACTTAAAATATTCACAATAATTAAATATCCAGGAAACTTCAGGAATTAAATATCGCAGTATTATTTTGGATACTTCCAGATTATCCTGGTATATTTTCAGAACATTTTTTTATTTTGAAAATATCCCATGATATCCTGGACATATTCAGGATCATCTTCAGGACATCTTGTAATGTCTGTGTTTGGAAAAAGTTCAACAAAGAGACAGTTTCTCCACCTTCTCAATATCAATAACAAAAACGGACGTTACGCACATACAACCTTATCTTCATTGTCAAGTTTTAGGAAAGTGATTTCTTATATCAAATATGGATAATTATATAGTAATATATGTTATTATCATGTAATATACAATGTGTGTATACAAATATGCAATGTACGTGTAAATAAAAAATATGAAAATGTAATAATAATAAAAACAAAAAATGTAAGAACAATAAAAACATGAATATGTGAGAATAACGTGATAATAAAATACAATAAAAATGCAATTATAAAAAACAAACTTCACAATTTTAAAAACAGACATCTCAATTCACTGCCCTATTTGCAATAACCTTCAGGTTGGCCACTATGTTCATTTGAACTTTGTTACATGTTGTAAACTCGCTCGTCCAGAAATTATATGTCTTCCTGTATCTCATTCAAACCGGATAAATTATTTTTCGTATTTTTAAAATTCTTTGTATTTGCGCTGATTTTATTATATATATGTCACTCGTGTTTATTTTTAGTAAATAAGCATTATCTTCTGCAAATTTTGTAATCTGAAATAGGTCATTTTGATAAGTTCATAACAGAGTTTAAATATTCATTTTTATCCATTTCTAACTTTAACAAGAAATAAATTGTTATACGTGTATTACGTGTTTGAAAATGAAATTTGAATTAATTAAAAATATTGAACTCAAAGTAAACAGAAGATACATACTATATTGAAATGTTCATCTAAATATACATTCATTATCATTTCACCCAATAGTTTTATGTTTAAAGAAGTGTCTAGCCACCTAAAAAGTAAAAATAATTAAATGAATCAGTAACAGAAGCGTTATGCTCTCTCGCGATCAGTCACTGCAAATGCTTATAGGAGAAACAATTACCATGTCACTAACTTCAAATAATTTTTTATGATATGTTCCAGAACATCATCTTTCCGTATGTGTTTCTTTATGACAATGCGATAAAGTTCATTCATATCGTTATATAATAATATATTTGCAAATTCGAGAAGCAACATTTCATTCATATACTTTACGATAATTTGTGCATCTTCTGAGCAAAACAAGTACTTCAAAATATCTATATCCGTGATATTTTTGTATTTTTTAAACAGCGTCTGCGATATAAGTTTGTTGGCCGAAATCATGCCGGCGCAATATACCCAATCCTTCCACCATGGTGAAATTCTGTGTGCAAAAAATAACAACCATTAGCGAAGTTGAATCATGTAATCAATCAAACATATGGCGTAATAAGTAATAAAGAAATATGTTTAAAAGGATTTTTATAGAATATAAAGGTTTACTTGTTATTATCAGGATCGAAGAGATGCCCAGATAATTTTCTCGTAGCAACTGCTTGACAATTTTTATGTCCTAACTTGCAAGCCCATCTTGTTGCTAATAATCTCAATGTCTTGTACATATTGTCTTCATCAACTTTTTCTTCTTCATATCCCAAATTTTCAAATAAGCCGTCCAACATTTGACGTAGATTTTCCTAGATGACATCAAAGAATATTGATAACACATGAATATTGAATTGAGGACATTATAATTTAATTCTAGTACTGTATCTCGTGTTGTTCATCGGAAAGTATTATTTATATAAATGTACAACTACAAATATATACATAAAACACATATATATGATAACACATGCATATTTTTATGATCAAAAACAGTTTCCTTTCTATATTTTTGTCAAAATAATTCATCTTCAATATTATAAAGCTTTTTTTATAATCGTAGACTACGCGTTCCTTAATTAACTTATTTGACGAAATTTGGTCTACCTTGATATGTTCCACTTCCCGATAATTCCAAATAGGCCACATGAAGGATATAATATTAAACATCGGATACCAGGCTACGTAATTTACATCGCGCTTTAGGTAGCTTACAATTTTCCAGAACCTGGATGAAGATACGCAGCCTTGTGTCATAAAGTAATATGCATCATCAATCAATTGCGCGCGATTGAGGACATTTATTTCATTATAATTATTAGAGTGCAAGAAAATTTCGATTCGATTCCAACTTTCTTCATCATAATTCACGCGAAAGTATCCTGTTGTAAATTAAATAATCATTATATTGTTACTAATTTACATTTGTATTCACCGGAAACTATTGTAAATAAAATAAAAAAATATATTATGTCAAAGTTGTTTTACGCTCTAAAGTCACGGATAGCGTCGCGGACTTATCTGGTATATATACACTCACCATTTTGTTCTACATTAAATAAAACAAAGTCAATATTCGGCGCTATTTTAGTCATTGCAATTTCGGAACTAGTTATCCAAATATCACTAGTCAAGTGGTAACCCGCGGAGTGATATAAAATATAAGTTATTGGTATTATCCATGTGGATTTTGTCATGTCGGCACTACCAGTGATATTTAATCTCACTGTATTATTTTTAGGATCGTAAAAGACGTGCATGACAGGATAGTATCTTTGATCTAACCACGTATCCATAATTTCCTTAATTCTAAACTCTTGATTGTCTGTGTTATTAAGAATATGTTGTAGAATGATCCACAAATCGTAAGGTGTGGCTGAACGAAACTTACTATAAAGAGAAAAATGCCACGTTTGAGAGCGTGTACGCAATTTATGAATTTTACAATACAGACACTAAACTCATTTTTACTTAACTATATGTTCAATTGAACCTTTTACCGTAAATGCACAAATATCATATAAAAAATTTCTGTGTAATAAATAATATGTCCCTTTTAAGCCCGATTAATTAATGAATATGTACAGATATAAATTTTGATAATGTCAGTTTTGTCGTACATATAGTTATCTTTAAAAGCAACACCTAACAGCGAAGTATTATATAATGATGCTACAAAGTGTTACTTACAATTCGTCCAAATATTTTTTGACAGCTAGTTGAAATTTATCCCGTGTCATCATATATTCTATCATACGTAAGAGAGCGAAACCTATAAACAAAACAGTACGATGACGCGTAACAAGTTTATTTGGTTTAAATGAAGTAAGGACAAAGTCTCATAATTTATGTGGCATTTTCTTCCAACGATAAATGAATATTTTTTTTAAATCTCCAGTTAAACACTAACCTTTATTATAATACCAACGAGAACAGAGAACAACATCAATCTCATCCGCGACTCGTACATTATATTTGGAAAGAGCTCTCATCTGACAGTTAGTTTCATACTGAAATGTTGACTGAAGAATTTCGATTGCATAGAGGTCCATTAATTGCGAACCGCTGTAAATCTAAAATAAATTATTCTGATACAACTAAAATGTAGGCTAGTGCACGAATTAATATTACGCAAATGTACTCCTTGCTCTAATAAACATAAATATATACTGACTATGTTATTGTAATATAACGAAATTTAACACGTTATATGATTTAACAAATAAATTGCAAGCAAGTTATAAAAATATAAGTTATATATATTAATAAATATAAGTTTAATATATTAATAAATATAAGTTGCAATACATATTAAATGTAATTTTCTTTTCATGTAGAATTGCAGTTATGTGACAAAAATGTAACATGTTATTAAAATGTTACAGGACTGTTACACTATATTGGATACTTTGAAGCTCTATAACAGTTAGGAAGTTTTGGGGAAATCTTATACAACTGAAATATAAATTAAATATTTCCCATTAATTACTTTTATATGTGATATGTAACGATAAGACTTATCCATCATGCATACAAAATCAAATTTTACTTTAAATTTAAAAGTATGTCGCTCTCTAGTAATGTTGACAGGTATATATTAACCTTATCTATGATATAATGACTGTAAAGCTCCGATAGTGATTCGCCTATCCACAGGTCAGCCCACCGAGACTGAGTAACCACTGCTGTAAACGGGTGACGTGCCATTTGGTGTGAAATTACCTTGCGGATATAAACCTTGCGACCAGGGAAATCGAAATTTTCATGATATAGAACATCCTTTTCGCTGTAAATTGTGAATTAATATGACCAGGTAATGTAAATATTACAGTGCGCATATAATTGGACTCCTTTATAAGTCATATGAACATTTAAACGTAAAGTTGACGTTAAAATTTCTAACAGCGAAACGCATTAAGCACAGAATGATGATAATAACATGATACAATATATTATAAGAGTCATGTACAATATATCCCAGTCAGAACATTGATTCGATGTTGATGATGGTTGAATTAATGTTGGGAAGATCCATGAATCAATAAGGATCGTTGAATCAACATTATAATTCCGTATTTGTCGGTGGAAAATCAACGTCGAATCAACGTTATAATTCCGACTGGGATGTTAAAGCGCAGTTACATTATTGAGCAAAACAATATAATATTTATGTAATGTTAGTATTACTCGTGCGATACTTTACTCCGTCATTTCTTCTCTTTTGACTTTAAATCGCGCCGCAAGAGAGAGAATTAACAGATGCACAGTCTAAAAGATAATTTGTGTGCAATGTTACCAATGCCGTGTGAGTTATTCAAAGTAAATTTTATGCTATGATATCGTTGGCGTCATTATCGGTATCACTGGATTGATCTAGGATCTTTAAAAACTTCCCAGCAAACAAAATATTACATGTAACTTTTAGTTGTAATTTCTGACTCAATGATATAACTGTTATATAAAACGTTATATAACAGTTACATTATTATTACAACTAATAGATATATTACATGGTACGTTATATTTACTGGGTTGTATATGCTACAGTACTTGAATTGTATGTATTATGTACCTATATATCATAAGACCAAAACATCCCATTGAGTTTATTCTATTATCTGGGAAGAATATATGATCCCTCCTCGGCAATAGAATGGATAAATTCGTAAAGGACATCAAATACGAATTGACAAGTACGATTGCTCCTATTGCATCTTTTAGAATCTTCTTTTGCGACGTGTACCAAAAGAAATCAGTCTCCACTTTAATAATTTTAAGTCTGACGTTGTCTTCAAGCAGAGCAATAAACACGTTGGAAGGAGACATCAAAGGCGTATCATTAAAATATCTCCAGCATGCACGTGAATCACAGTGTCCTCCGAATGATGTGGGCATATTCGAGAAGGCTCTAAATTTGTTGAAATATTTAACAGATATATTGAAAATTGCCTTTAATCCGGGCTCGTCCCAACATGGAAATATTCTCCGAGCCATGTTACTTTGGAAGATGATTAACCTATCGTAAGAGCATATCATCATAAACATAAAATTTCTAATCGTTCTATAATGTGCCGCGAGAATGCCGCGAAAAGAATTTTATATATGAACATTATGGAAAAAGTTGGATGAATTAGTGTGCGTCGCGATGGTAGTGGGTAACGCGCTCGGCCGCTCTCAGTAAGAAATGACTCGTCGACCTATGTCGAAACGGTGTCAAATAGTTATCGATTTCAATCTTTTGACATTGATTCAATGTCGTTTCGACATCGATCGGCGAATCATTTCTCGCTGAGACGCGAGATTGTAGCGGGGCCTAATAACAGTTGCCGGCGTTCGTCTAACAACAGTTGCCGTCGTGCACCGCACTAAGCCGAGAGACTCCTGTAATATCATCTCGGCATACACTCACTTATTAGATTTTTATGATTAATAACTCAATAATTATCACGAATATCGGAGTAGGACTTCTACATTTGTCTTAATCCGCTCTATGTTTCCATGTTATGAATTCCGGTTATCGATTTATGAGATATTCTCTACATAACTCAATATTAATATTGTCTGCGTAGGTTCGCGTAAAATTATACAAAAATTTATTTATACATATATTAATACTTAAGATGCTAAAAGATTGCTACACAAATGCAAATTATGTAAATGTTTGTTTTCGTAGTTCATTTTTAATTGGCTTACATATCGACATAGGGATTATTGGCAAATATTCTGTCGATAAATATATTTATTAAATATATTATATATTTATTGAATATATTTAATAAAAAACTGTCGAATTAATCGTTTTTATCTTTGATTTCTTCTCATGATAACAACATAAACCAATATAACCAGCAGACATTTGAAGCAATAGAAGAAAATATTTACCTGCAATGGTTAGCAGTATATTTAATGATTCACGAATTCTTACCTTCCTTCCACAAAATTTGTTCCACTTTTCTCGTGTTCGTATTTAATTACACCTTTCCAAGGAAAAGAATCAACGTGGAAGTAGATTGTCAAGTTATAAATTCCAGGAACTATTATTTTATCAAACCGCAAATCCAAAATCTGCGATTGTTTGCAATAACGGTAGCCAATAAGCGCATAGTTTTTAAATAAGGAAATATTTATAGCTTTTAGACTTATCTGACTGTTAATACACAATCCATAAGTGTGGAAACTTATCTCTCTAATTGGATTTTCAACAATGATTATAATACTCTCTATACCGTAGACTCTATTCCAATATGGATATAATATTTGTAAATTTATGTTATATCTAGTTGGCCGCGAGTTATGAAATAGTAAATCATTATAAGAAGAATCATCCAAGCAATTTGTTATGTCCATATTTAAACATTGATCATTATCCGTATCAAAATTTTCGGGCGGCAGAATAGCAGCGCAGAGCGAAATGTAGGTTAATAAAAATATTAGAGATTCCATGTAAATATTTCTCAAAAACATATTTATACCTATATGGAGCATTTATTTGTTGGTAGAGACAACTATTAGTTAATAATAAGTTTTAATATGAGATCATTGTTATATAATATTCTTACTTAATGTTGATATTAATGTAAGAAGAATAATACAAGAATAATATAATATAAGAAGTTCCATGTTTCTTACCTAAATAGATATATATTCTATATTTGATATTTCCATTCCTAGTGCTCGTTGCCGACTACCGTACACAACACAAGTACAGTTTCTGATATAGGGGTCCGTTAGCTAAACAAAAGAAGTATAAATACAAACTAAACAATAATAAGTTGCATATTGAAAAACACTTTGACAACACTTAGATTGACTACATACAAAGAAGGTATTGCTTTGCAAGATAATAACATATAAGTTGTTGTTGATATATCGAATAATTGATATGGAAAATATCATATTTTATATACTATTTCGCAAATTTCATTGAATGTAACAAATTTATAAATTACGATGAAACATATCGCGAAGGTTGACAAAAAGAATTATTTTGAAAGTTTTCAAAGTACAAACATTTTATTTATTTATTATAAATATGTCAGTTATTATATTGAAAAATGAATAAAACTTGTTATGACAAAATTTGATATATTAATTTGATATAATAATATTAAAATTGATATTTTATGAGAAAATAAATAGAATTTAATAAATATATATATTTATGTGTATGTAATACGTGAAATCTAAATTTATTGTGCTCTCAGCAAATTTTGAAATTCTATATCATTACCGATACTAATTTAATGATTTTGAAATTTCCAAAAGTCGATAAGTTAACGAAAGTTACCAAAAGGGCATTATTATAACAATGTATTCTTGATAGCAAGTAGAATAAAAAAGTCTAATATTATTTTCTTTATAAATAGCGAGATATCGTAAGTTAAATATTGAAAAAGTTGCTAAGTTCTCCTTAAATATCTCAAAACATATTAGGCAAATAAAAAAAATGTTTGAGACAAAAGTTGTTGAAATTAATTTGTAAATAAGATGATACAATAAAAATTGGGGTTTCTATTTAAAAAAAGTAGTGATCAGTGAATATCTCGAAAGTGGCGCCATCTGTAAACAAACCGATGTAGTTGTCTTATGTCCTCTTCGAAACCATACAACTTTTGTCTGAAACATTTTGGTTTATCGGGCTCAATTTTCCAGATATTTGGATCGACTATTTACAATGGACATCCTGTGTATATGCGAATCTATTATTATCATAGAAAATTTACCTTATATTGCTAAAGATAATGATATTCGATATGCATATACAGGGTGTTTGATAGCTGATCATGCAGACGAAAGTTAGAGATCGATTGGGTGTAGCCGAGAAGAAAAGTCATGTACCATAATGTCAAATTGGCAATAATTATCCAGTTATTAATTAAAACATGTGAGCCAACGAGCGCGTAGAGAGCGGAGAGCGACCGCAGTAAGCACGTAGACATTTGATACAGGCGGAGTCAGCGAGTATCGATAGGCAAGCGCGCGCGGCGAGGGGCAACGTAAGCGACAAGAGGCGATCGCGCGCGACGAGGAGCGAGCGAGCTTTTTCTTTATAGCTTTTTCCTTATAGCTTGCTCGCTCCTCGTTGTTCGCGCTCGCTCGCTCTTCGTCGCGCTCGCTCGCCTCTTGTCGCTTACGCTCGCTCGCTCCTCGTCGTTCACGCTCACTCGCCCCTCGTCGCGCGCGTTCGCTTCTTGTTGTTTACGTTGCCCCTCGCCGCGCGCGCTCGCCTATCGACACTCGCTTATTCCGCCTGTATCAAATGTCTATGTGCTTATTGCGGTCGCCCTCCGCTCCCTACGCGCTCGTTGGCTCACATGTTTTAATTAATAACTCGATAACTATTGCCAATTTGACATTATGATACATGACTTTTCTTTTCAGCTACACCCAATCTATCTCCAACTTTCGTCTGCATGATCAGCTATCAAACACCCTGTATATATAACTGTATATGTCTGAGATCAGATTCATAATCAGCAACCCCAAAAACCCATATATATAGTTTTCAGTCCAGGTTTTCCGGTTTATAGTTTAAAGTTTACAGGTTTAATGCTCATGAGGTTGTTGGGCTCTAACTGCGCATGGTTTGGAATTCATTATGTTATCTTAAAATGGCCGTAACTTTGCAAGGAAAAATCGTAGATGACCATTCGACAGCTCACAGCTCATGTTGAAGGGAAAGAGTAGTACTAAATGATGCAATTAGAAGAAAAGAGCTAAAAAATTTTGTGCGTCCTATACATAACCTCAAAAGCAGCCCAGAAAGCCATTTTTCGAGTATATAACCTCAAATATCTCAAAATCCTGACGTGATGGGCCAATTCTGACCTCGGATTCGGATTCTACGTAGAAAATTACTTGGGAAACGATCCTCAGCTGCCTAACAACAAAACATTGTAGACCTGTGTTATTGAGTTATTAATGACAGAAATCTGAGGAATGGGAGCGCGCCGACATAGATAACTGTAGAAGCGTTGCAGTTGCTTAGGCCGCAGAGCGGCCCAGTTGATCCAGAAACTAATGCCGGTGCGCAGCGAGGGGAAAGAAAATGCGCTGCTATTCGTTATTTTATCTCGCCGGACCTACGTCCCGCCGCACGCCGCCAACAGTTGTTGGGTCGAGTAGGCCGCGCTGTGGCCTAAGTAGCTGCAACACTTCTCCAATCATCTATGTCGGCGCGCTCCCATTCCTCAGATTTCTGTCATTAATAACTCGATAATTATTGCGAGTCTCGCAAAACGGTATAGGACTTTTATGTTTATCTTAACCCAATCTACCTTCACATTTCTGGTTGGCAACTTATAATCAACCACCCTGTATATAGTGGACACTTATGAAAGATTTATATTGTATTACAATATTTAGCATTCTGAAATTGCTTCTAATGTTGCATTACAATTAATGAGGTCAAATATATACATAAAGTTTTCACTTAAAATATTCACAATAATTAAATATCCAGGAAACTTCAGGAATTAAATATCGCAGTATTATTTTGGATACTTCCAGGTTATCCTGGGATATTTTCAGAATATTTTCTTACTTTGAAAATATCCCATGATATCCTGGACATATTCAGGATCATCTTGAGGACATCTTGTGCTGTCTGAGTTTGGAAAAGGTTCAAAAAAGAGACAAGTAGTTTCTCCACCTTCTCAGTATCAATAACAAAAATGGACGTTACGCACATACAATCTTATCTTTATTGTCAAGGTTTAGGAAAGTGATTTCTTATATCAAATATGGATAATTATATAGTAATATATCATGTAATATACAATGTGTGTATACAAATATGCAATGTACGTGTAAATAAATAATATGAAAATGTAATAATAATAAAAACAAAAAATGTAAGAACAATAAAAACATGAATATGTGAGAATAACGTGATAATAAAATACAATAAAAATGCAATTATAAAAAACAAACTTCACAATTTTAAAAACAGACATCTCAATTCACTGCCCTATTTGCAATAACCTTCAGGTTGGCCACTATGTTCATTTGAACTCTGTTACATGTTGTAAACTCGCTCGTCCAGAAATTATATGTCTTCCTGTATCTCATTCAAACCGGATAAATTATTTTTCGTATTTTTAAAATTCTTTGTATTTGCGCTGATTTTATTATATATATGTCACTCGTGTTTATTTTTAGTAAATAAGCATTATCTTCTGCAAATTTTGTAATCTGAAATAGGTCATTTTGATAAGTTCATAACAGAGTTTAAATATTCATTTTTATCCATTTCTAACTTTAACAAGAAATAAATTGTTATACGTGTATTACGTGTTTGAAAATGAAATTTGAATTAATTAAAAATATTGAACTCAAAGTAAACAGAAGATACATACTATATTGAAATGTTCATTTAAATATACATTCATTATCATTTCACCCAATAGTTTTATGTTTAAAAAAGAGTCTAGCCACCTGAAAAGTAAAAATAATTAAATGAACAGAAGCGTTCAGCTCTCTCGCGATCAGTCACTGCAAATGCTTATAGGAGAAACAATTACCATGTCACTAACTTCAAATAATTTTTTATGATATGTTCCAGAACATCATCTTTCCGTATGTGTTTCTTTATGACAATGCGATAAAGTTCATTCATATCGTTATATAATAATATATTTGCCAAATCGAGAAGCAACATTTCATTCATATACTTTACGATAATTTGTGCATCTTCTGAGCAAAACAAGTACTTCAAAATATCTATATCCGTGATATTTTTGTATTTTTTAAACAGCGTCTGCGATATAAGTTTGTTGGCCGAAATCATGCCGGCGCAATATACCCAATCCTTCCACCATGGTGAAATTCTGTGTGCAAAAAATAACAACCATTAGCGAAGTTGAATCATGTAATCAATCAAACATATGGCGTAATAAGTAATAAAGAAATATGTTTAAAAGGATTTTTATAGAATATAAAGGTTTACTTGTTATTATCAGGATCGAAGAGATGCCCAGATAATTTTCTCGTAGCAACTGCTTGACAATTTTTATGTCCTAACTTGCAAGCCCATCTTGTTGCTAATAATCTCAATGTCTTGTACATATTGTCTTCATCAACTTTTTCTTCTTCATATCCCAAATTTTCAAATAAGCCGTCCAACATTTGACGTAGATTTTCCTAGATGACATCAAAGAATATTGATAACACATGAATATTGAATTGAGGACATTATAATTTAATTCTAGTACTGTATCTCGTGTTGTTCATCGGAAAGTATTATTTATATAAATGTACAACTACAAATATATACATAAAACACATATATATGATAACACATGCATATTTTTATGATCAAAAACAGTTTCCTTTCTATATTTTTGTCAAAATAATTCATCTTCAATATTATAAAGCTTTTTTCATAATCGTTGTAGACTACGCGTTCCTTAATTAACTTATTTGACGAAATTTGGTCTACCTTGATATGTTCCACTTCCGGACAATTCCAAATAGGCCACATGAAGGATAGAATATTAAACATCGGATACCAGGCTACGTAATTTACATCGCGCTTTAGGTAGCTTACAATTTTCCAGAATCTGAACGGAGATACGCAGCCTTGCATCATAAAGTAATATGCATCATCAATCAATTGCGCGCGATTGAGGACATTTATTTTATTATAATTGTTAGAATGCAAGAAAATTTCGATT